TGGCATATCTGCAAAATCAAAATCAGCTCTTCATGGTGTATGACACCATCGCCGCCGCACTTCAATCATACACATGATTTCGTTTTTTTGTTGTTGTTGTTTGTTTGTTTTTTTTCATACAGGAATTCCACTATTGCGGAGAATGGAGGGCGTTGCACGCGCGAACCGAAAACCGCACGCGCAGCAGGCGGATCACTGCCGCGCAAGACTGGTGGCGTGAAAGACCGGGACGCCGAAGAGGCGCCGCAGTGCTTCCCGCGGCCGGCCGCTGTGGGCGGCTCGCCGCCCCCTTTTCCTGGCATGCACATGATCTCGTGGTCGCGTGGTCGCCACGCCACCTGGAACGTGGGCCGAACACTTTTCCACGCCGCTCCGCGGCTGCCCATGCCGCCTCTCCGGCTCTGCGCGCCCTCGCGCTGCCCGCTCGGAGAAGGGCAGCTCCCTGGCGCAGGCCGCGACACGCGAGGCGCGATCCCCTCCGCGCCCCTGAGGGTGCGATCGGTGATGGGGCTGCGATAGGAAGGCACCAACTATACACCAACACCGATACTGGCCAGGATCACCCTGGGCCCAGGATCGGTGTATACGCCCTCCTGCCTTGCGCAAGAAGGCATATACACCGATCCTGGGCCCAGGGTGATCCTGGGCCAGGATCGGTGTTGGTGTATAGTTGGTGCCCTCCGATGCGAGGACAGCTGCCAGAACCTCGAGTGCCTCAGGAGGAGGGCCCGGCGGCCCCCGCCCCGGGCGTCTTCACCAACGCCGAGGGTCCGCCTTGCGCCGCCGGGGCGCGGGCGGCGCACCGGCCCCCTGCGATCAGCAGGTGGGGCTCCCCCGTCGGCACGACCTCCCCCAGACCGGAAACTCAAAGCCCGCCGGCGCCCCCTGGAGGCCAACGGGCTACGTGGCCAAGACCTGCCTGTAGCCTGCAGCAGTTCTACTGTCCCGCGTTCTGGCCTCCGGCCGCTGGCCCCACCTGCAACTCTCCGGCACGCGCGAAGGCCCTGCGCAGGAACCTTGTGGCTTACGGCCAACCCGTATCACACGGATGCGCGGCAAGCATGCAAGGGCCTTGGAGGGACATGATAACGTTTCTCGAACGAGGCTGGCCAACGAAAGTCGCTAAGGATGGGCCGAAGGGGCAAGGATGCAAGGGTACTCTTGGGAAGGCCACCCATCCTTACAACAGTCATCGGCCTGACCTAAGGAGCGATAAAGAAGGAACGAAGCCCCTCTTTGCCCCAAGGAATAACGAATAAGGAACGATAAACAACAAATAACGCATAAAGAACTGTAAACAACGCATGCAAACCTAAGGAACGACCGAACCCCTTTTGAAAAGCAAGTGCTCCTTATTCAAGCCGCTCACTGTATGCGGGTTGACTGTACCACCTCGGCATCACGCTGCCTGCGTTGCTGTGGGGGCGCTGGGGCACGCAAAAAATCACGACAGGCCCGCGCCGTCGAGCCCGCGATCCCCCGCAGAGTACGACGCCCTCGCGCTCCCGAGGCCACCATCCCTCGCAAATCCCACCGGCCCTTCGGGGCGTAAGTGGTTTAGCGAGCTCGTTTTCCCAACACCTTCCTTCCATTTCGGGGCGGGGTTCGCCCCGGCCCCTTACCCCCCCCCTTGGGTCTGGAGGAGGGGGCGCGAAGTGTAAGGGAGTCCTCGTTGGCCTGGGATGGCCCCTCGAGTGTTTCACATAGCCGATAATTGCCTTCAAGATGGCACATAGTAGCCCTACATGGTGCAAAATGACCTCCGACATGCTTCCAATAGGCCCCAAGACCGCTCCAAGACGACTTGAAATTGCGACGGACCTCCCCAAGCAGGCCCCCCAGAGGCCAACATCCTTCACGCACGTGTCGTTTTCAATGCTGTTCGCCTTCTCGCCTTTTTGCTTCCCATGGGCGCATGAAGCCTCAAGGTGACTCCAAGATGGCCCAAGAGAACCCCAGGAACGCGGATCATGTCCGTGAGCCGCGGGCGAACCCGCGCACTCGGGGGGAACCTGCGGGGTGCGAAACCGGTCGGGGTGCGCCAGGGCAGCGAAGGCGGCTGCCTGCGAACGCCACCTGGCCATCGCTCGGACGTCCATTTTCTGTGTGTTTTTCGGTATCGTGCGTGCTTCTTTTGCCAAATGATCGAGGATGCTCCTCGATGGTCCCCGCCGAAGGAAAAAATGCACACGTCCGAGCGATGCCAAGGGACTGGATTGGACAAACAACGCGCGCGCAGCTGCCCCGCTGCTGCCGCGGTGGGGGCCTAGCTATAGCTTGGGGAGCAGAAGCGGTTTGGGCGCGCCCCTTCCAGTGCGAAAGGCGAACGCGCTGGCCCCCGCAAGAGCAGCAGCCCATGCCGCGAAAACGGCACGGAGCGCATGATGAGAGGAGTGTCCAACGACGGGCGCGCACGACCGCCCCATGAATTATAGGGTCATCGGTGAAGCTCGATCTGCAATGCGGAGCGCGCGGCAGGCGGACCACGCGCGAATCTGCCCAGCAAGGCTCGAAGTCCAAGCTGGGCCCCAAATTTCCCAAATTTTGGGCGCGGAATGCGTGGTCGGCGGTGCAGACTCATCCAACGGGCGCGCGAGGTTGCCACATCTGGCGGTGCAGTCCGGCGGGCCGCAAGCGCGAAATCGCGAAGACGGGGCGAACCGGGCCAACTGAGGAGGAAAGAACAACGAAACGCGGAGAGAAGCATGAGGAGGACGGATCGCGCGCCGCAGCAAAGAGAACGCAATCGCCCAACTCCAACAGGAACAACGCGCCCAACATGCTTTGAAGCCCACATAGAAAAAGATGGCGCGTCTAGTCGCGCCAAAGCACTCTTGCATGTGCAACAACGCACAAAGTGCGGAATGCCCGTGGGCATTTCCCACCAACATTCTCTGTGCAAATTCCATGCTCGATCCATACCGGTGTTGTGTGCGCCCGAGACTTCCTCACAATGTATGCATGACTCGCGCTCTCGCGCGGGACTTTCTCGCGATTTCTTACTTTCTCGCAATTTCTTCAGACGCCGCGCATTCGACTCTCAGGAATCACGCTCTGGCTCTGGCCTTTCTGATGATGTACTTTGCAATCGCGCTATCGCACGAGACTCCCTGGCGATTCATGCAGAGGACTCACGCTTCAGCAGCCCGCCTGCTCGACCTGGCCGCCTGGGCCCACCGTCCCGACCCGCCCGATGGGTCTGCCCGCCCGATCTGCCCGTCTGGTTCTGCCACGTGTATTCTGCTTCCAGCCCCCCTCCTGCTAATTTATATGTTGCTCCATCCCTCTCCCTCCCTTCCCTGTTTTAGGGGTTGCACTGAGTGCGCGTGGCATGTAAGGAAGATCACCCCCCAAGGAGGCACGATCGAATACGAAGAGGGCCGATACCGAGGGTTCGGGATGTACGTCTTGAACGGCAGGCGAGCAGATAGGAGCGATCAGTCTCAAACTGATTGCTGTTGTTGTTGCGATTGTTGTTGTTTTTGTTGTTGCTGTTATTGTTGGCGTTGGTTTTGTTGTCGTTGATGTTGCTGCGCGCTGATGGCATGTTGGTGTTGTTGGTGGTGGTGGTGCTGCTGTTACTGTTTTGTAATCATATCTCTACACATTATATCGTTGATTCTCCTCTACTAACCATTGTATGTCTCAAATACAATGTTTCCCCCAGGGCTCGCACCCGGTTCTCATTTAAAAAAGGAATCCGAAGGGTCACCAAACTGAATCGTTGCCCCCCAAACTACAACGACAACGGCTCCTGCCTGATACTTCCTCACAATGTATTCCCAATCGCGCTCTCGCTCGGGACGTCCTCACAAGGTATTCCGAAATCGCGCTCTCGCGTGGGACTTCCTCGCCATGTATTCAAACGCCGCGCCCTCGACTCTCAGGAATCACGCTCTGGCTCTGGATTTCCTAGCGGTTTATCTGGGAATCGCGCTATCGCTCGAAACATCCCTGCGATTCATGCGGACGCACGCCTCAACAACCCGCCTGCTCGACCTCACCGCCTGGGCCCGCCTTCCCGACCCGCCCGCTAGGGTCTACCCGCACGATCTGCCCGTCTGGTTCTACCACGTGCTTCCTGCTCCCAGCACCCCTCCTGCTATTCTCTATCGTGCGTCATCCTCCTCCCTACCCCTTGTCCCTTCCGTCCGTCCGTCCTCTCTTGCCCTGCCTTAGGGGCTGCACGAAATACACGCTGCAGGTAAGCACCATATATAATCCCAAGGTGCACGATCGAACACGAAGAGGGCGGGCATCGAGGGTTTAGGACGTACGTGATGAATGGCCCGCGAGCAGATAAGAGCGAACAGTCTTAGACTGAGTGTTGTTGTTGTTGTTGTTGGTGTTGTTGTTGCTGTTGTTGTTCTTGTTGTTGAATTCTCATTTCAAGAAGCAATTATTGTTGGCCCCCTTGCCCGGTGACCATTGTGCTTCTCAGTCGAGGTGCTCCTCCTGGGGCTCGCACCTTCGCTTGCAAAGGAAAATGTGGGGTCACCAAACAAGGCCCCTGGCCCCCGAGTTACATTAACAACGGCTCCCGCCGGATACTTCCTCGCAAATTATTCCCAAATCGCGCTCTCGCGCGGGACTTCCGCACAATGTTACAGAAATCGCGGTCTCGCGTGGGACTTCCTCGCAATCCTCTCCGTCTCCTCCTCTTGCCCCTTCCGTATCGCTTTTCCATGCGTCGCCCGCTTCGCATTCGCGTTTCATTCGCCCTGGTCCTCCTGCTGCACTTCATATTACAATCAAGTGTCTCATCGCCTGTCTCTTTAGCTTCCTATTCGTCTCCCTCTATCCCTACACATACACACATGCCTATTCCTGTTTGCCTTCCTCCTCATACTTGTTTTCCTCATCCTCCAATTCCAACAATTTATGCCTCCCATCCGCCTCCACCCCCGCCGCCACCTCCCGCCCTCGTCGCTCAACCGCGATGCAAGGCGGAGGCTGATGAAGAATAACATTGACGCTTCATCATGCAAACAAGTGCTCGCCTTGCCGGACGAACCTCCTCCGAGCCGCAGCAGCTGCTGTGACCATGGCAGGCCATCGCGTTGTCTGCGGCAGCCGCATCATGACGGGAGCGATCCGCCAGGGGGGGAACCAGCCGGCGCCTCCTGGCTCGAGTGGGCCGATCGAGGCGGGATCGTGCAGTCCTTTCCGAGGCTGGCCGCGAGCATCCCCTTCTGAGGAGGGAGGGGCTCCAGAGGCCATGCTTCGTTCCACACGTGCAGACTCGTATCGGAAGGTGGACAACGCCAAGTGACCAAAAAACCGCCGCCACGATTCAGCCATTCGGAGGAAGAGGAGGAGGAGCAAGAGGAGGAAGAGGAGGAGGATGAGGAGGAGGAAGGCCCCTTGTGACGTCGCTGATACTTTGTTCGCCGCTGAAGCTGTGTTCGCGCGGGGTGAATCTTGCACCGTGCGACGAATCTAAGGTGTGCGAGGTGCCTGAATGATCTGCGAACGCGGACAATGATATGTATGCACGCGTATTCATTCACTCGCAGGCGCATGCATCTGCGAGCATGCCCATGCAAACGAGTCCTCCCCATGCGAACGCGTATGCACCCAGGTCAGAACCAGCCTGCACAATCTACTACATGCACGTCCATGCAAACTAGTGTGGTCGCTATGTCCACGTGTCCATATTTGGGCATATGCATGCGACCACACCGATGCATGCATGCGCACGGATATGAAGGTGTAGATGCACCCCCCACGTGGCCTTCACATTCGTGCCAGCGTTGGTCATGTATGCGCAGGAATGCAACATCAAACGTTCATCCCCTGTCCCCCCCTGCAAGTTTCGCCCACGAGCCACAACTCGATAAAGCGTGTGTCACCTGGGACAGTGGAATGTCACCTCCCCTCTGGGAGTGAGTGGTTCAGGCAATGTCCTCTTCCAATCCCCCTTTTTCCCCTTCGGGGGGGAGTTTACCCCTCCCCCTCCCCCCCTGGGTTTGGAGAGGGGGTTCGCGAAATGTCAGAACGTCGTTTTTGGCCTCGACGCGGAAGCCAACATTAATGCTCGTAAGACTTTGGCAACATGTCGCCCTCCTCGGGGGGGGGGGGCTAATTGGGGAGCGCCCCTCATTTGATCGATCTCTTCCAACATGCCCCAAAGATGGCCTCCAAGGCTCCCATGGGTTCCCCAAGATGGCCCCTAGAGGTTCCCAGGAGGCCCCCAAGAGGCTCCCAAGAGGCTCCCAAGAGACCCCCAAAACGCCCTAAGAGGCTTACCAGAAGCACCTAAGACGCCCCCCGGACCCCCCCCAGAAACCTCCAAGACTCTCCAAGAGGACTCTGGCCTTGCTGCTCGCTCTGTTGAAATGCACTAGCGATCGTCCCCACTTTTCCTCCGAAAGCCTGCCTGCTGCCGATGCGTTTCTGTTCCGACGCTGTCTTGGTTCAGAGCTCTTGAGTCTAAGGGCTCAGGCCAGAAAAGTTGTTGCGACGGCGGCGGCCGTCACTTGATGGTAGTGGAGCTGGCCAATTCGCCCTCGGCCAGTTCCCGCCTCCGCAGCTCAGCGCGCGGAGGAGAACGTGTTCACGCCCCTGGCAAGGGCGATGGCTATCCAGCAAGGAGCTGGAGGGCATCCACGGCGAGGAGGTTGGCGGCTCCTCTCCTGTGCTAGGCCTGGGCGTCTTGGCGCACCACTGTCAGCGAAGAGCCCGCTACGCTCGACGTGTGCGTGTGCATCATCCCTTCGATCGGAGCTGTCGACGCGCTGCATGTCGAGATGGCGAAGATCAGCAAACTAGGGTTTGAATAATACATCCCTCTGTACGACGATGACCCTGCACTCTTCGAGGAGTATCAGGAGAGACCCCGCGATGCGTTCCACGGCGGGATGGGCGACGAGAAGCATATTGCGACGCCCGTCAACCTCAGGAACGGACTCAGCGGGGCGGCCTACTACGTGGTGCGAGGTCTCACGCACACCCAGCTTCTGACCTTCGAGGAGGAGGTCATCGAGGGTATCCAAAGCGGCGCCAACTACGTGAAGAAGCGAGCGACGACCGACGGACTGGAGCTGCTACTGAATACCCTCGGCGAGTCGGTGCGAAAGGAGCGGCCCGTCAGAGCGGCTGAACTGTTCGGCGGAGCGCTGCATGACAAGTCGGCACGAAGGGCGCCCGCCGGGAGATGCAGGAAAACTTAACTCGGCGTTCGAAGGCGTTCGAGGATCTCAACAAGGTGAGCGAGGAGACCAGTATCTCCAAATATTTGCAGGCTCACCAACTGCTGAAGTTCCCGACCACGCGAATCTCATCATATCGGCGGGCAACAGGTACGACCAGGACGCATTCGCTAAGGCCCTGCGGATGCAGCATCCGAACATCCACGAGCGTGAGACTTGGATGAAGGACAAGAAGCAGCGCGGTGACCTTCGGCCAATCCGATTCGGGCCGAAGCGTCTTCCATCGCGCGCGGCTTGGCAGGCTGACATCAAATAGGGCGACGAGCAGGATTGCGACGACGACGGCCAGTCGCACGTTGCTTCGGAGCCCGAGATCTACCTACGTAGGCGACGAAGAGGCCAACTTGGAGGAGATTTACCAGGTGAGCGAGGAAGCGCTGGAGAGCTTTGCGGCCATCGTCCAGCATGAGCAGAAGTTCCAGGCGTAGGGCCGCGGGAAGGGCCGCCAGGTGGCTCTGCGGCAAGCTCTCGGGATCGGCCGCGGGGCCGCGGTGGCAAGGGATCCAGTTGCAATCCACAGCGTAGATCCAGGATCGAGAAGCTGGGGCGCGCGACGAAATGTGCGAGCTGCGGGCAGATTAGCCACTGGATGGACACGCTGGACTGCTTGTCATGCGGCTCGCCGACTACAGCCATAAGACCATCATCTTCGAGTTGTCCCGCGTCGACCACAAGGTGATAGACGCGCGGCTTCTCGCTTTCAGGGGGCGCGCAAGCGAGCGGCGCGATCTCATCTGCCCGACCTCGATCAAGAGGGCGCGGGCGCCAGAGAGCGGCGCGCGCCAGCGGCCCGCTGCTCGGCCCGCGCCCGAGAAAGCCCCCGCCGGGAAGGTCGCGCAGAAGAGGGGAGAAGCCGGCGCGGAGAGGGCGTCCGAGAAGTCCGCAGAGCAATTCAGAAAGACGATCGACAGGCGCGCTCCGATTGCCGACATGTCGTCCCCGAACAAAAACAAGCCAGGGAAGCTGAACAGCGCGGCGCGCCCCAAGAAGGGCCGGATCTGGACATGGGGCGCCGCGCTGCAGGGGAAGCCTGCGCGCGCTTCGCGCTCCGCGCCATGGGCCACCCCGCCGACGCGAAGGACGGCAGGCCCCGAGGGCACAAGGAGGCGAGGGACAATCTCGACATGCTCAACTTCAGCAAGGGCGACATCTGGTCTCGGACAAGTGGGGACGCGACCATATCATCCGTGAAAGCCTCTCGCCGCAAAATAAACGGCCCACGCAGAACACCCCGCGCCGCGAGCTAGCGGGCCGCGATGATGGCGAGATCGTGAACGCCAAAGGATTCACAACCAACGCCGTCGAGAGAGCAGGCGGGGCATCCTGAGGTTGTTTGAGGGGCAAGCACAGCAGCAACCTCCCGGAGTGGCCGTCCATGGGCGGACGACGGGAGGTGCATCTGCACGTGATCGCACAGCTCCCGCGCCGGCATGCCCACGCGGCGACAATTGTGGACAGATGTTCGACCCTCCGCGATCACCGGGACAAGGCAATAATTGAGACACTGGATGTATTACTCCAAGCACAAGACGCGTTCAGATGGATTGTGGGCCCAGACGGAGCGCGCCCGAGTTCCCGCAACCCACGTCAACCAATCAAGCGCCCAGATCAGAAGCATTCCTCAAAGACCGCCCATGTCAACCGAGAAGCATCAGAGACAATGGTTCGTTGATAACTTGAGGATCGAAAAATCCATGGCAAGCATGACTTGCATGGCCAAAGAAACGCGCATGCTTCCCTCATGGAGGGCTGGGAAAGATCACAGCGCGACCCCTTTCTAACATGCGCCGCATTGCCAATGCACTGAGCCGCCTAAGAAGAGGCTCATTGCACACAATATTTGGAGGGCCAACGATACCAAATTATCACAGTGGTGGCCTCTCATCTGGGATCACCTGGATCCTCTGGAAGTACTCATGAAGTTGTCACCTCTCTGTGCGCCCCTTTGGACACAGGAGGAGGACAACGCGGCCGAGCCGACAAATAAATGGCAGAAGTGGGAAGGCAAGCTTACCGCAGATGGAGCGGATCCTCCAATGGCAACTTGGCTAGGGAATGACTCCACGGCCAAGGTGAAATATGCACAATACGATGCTAAGCGACACATTCTTCTAGATTGCCCAATCATGAACGTGAGGGCCCTGAGGTATTCACCGACAGCTTTTTCCTGGAACTGCTAGAGAGTGGAGCATTAACATTCAGTGGGCCTTGGCCCGAGCCGTCCTGATTTCTACATCATCGATCGCGTGTATTCGGACAGACCCGAAATCCAACCTGAGGGTGGTCCTCGCTCGTTGTTAGTCAGAAAGACGCCAAGCACCATATGTTTTTCGACGAAGAAGCGGGAACTGAAATTTCGAAGACCAAAATGTACGCGGAGTTGATTGTTCGCTTTTTCGAGCGCACAGGTCGTCACTCTCTTCTGGGGCGCCCAAGCGTCCAGACATTTGCCAGAGATGGCATCAAGCCGACAGACAGTTCAGACGCGGCAGTGTTTGGTCGAAGCGCCGGGATGCGAGGCAATGGTGGCCGCGTCTAAATTGATGAGCCAATACGTGATCATTGAACCAGCCTTTGACGGCGAGGTGGGCCAGGGATACATTGCAGAGGGGATCGTCAAACTCCTGGGCGCTGTTTGGAAAAAGAACGTCACTCCTGAATTCTGCGATCACAGACACACTCGCGCGATGAACAACAGAGAGCACGTGCTGGAATATGTCATTCGATGGCGGTGCGCCATGCATCCATCCGATGCATCATCACTCCTGGACAGTCAGGAACGATGGAGAGCAAGCTGCACTGGGTACATACTTGACCATTGCCCGCAACAGATGAAGAAATATCACTATGAACTCGAGCAACAGTTACAGA